TAAAAAAGTATAGATTTGGTCGTTAATTTAAGAATATTTGTTAAATATGGTCATACAACTTTTATATTAAATATTTCTTCGTATTTCTAATAATAAAACAGCTATCGATCATTTATGCACTGATGGGACACCCTGTATATGTGTTATTGACTAACACATTGGTGTTATAGGGAATTTTATGCCAAGATAATATACTGTGTGTAGCGTTTAAAAAAATTGAGTAAATTTAACTTAAAATTAACCATATTTAAGACATGTTTCAAAACACTCTGTATAGAATAAACCAGTTGTATCACCTCTATTCGTTAGCTTAGTATTTTATAAGTCTGTATATTAAACAATTTTGAAATTAATGTAAACCTACCTAAATGATGATAATTTAATTTGGGGTCTGCATCACTCTCTAATTTAAAAAAAAATTGTTTGGCAACACTGTAATATTTTTTAAAAACAGTATTCTCAAGCCATTCTAAAAATAAAATATAGGGTGTTCTATTTAAAAAACATACATTTTTATTTGTCAGGCAAAAACGCAACATCCTGTATATCCAAAAATATTTTAAAAATATGTATTTTTCAAATCCATATAACTTTTATTAAAACTTCTTTGCTTGTCAATAACACAAATTAAAATATTGAACAATTTCGAACTAATGGGACCATGTATACAGTATGTCGCTAATGTATGGAATAAATTTATTATAATGGAAGTAGGTGGTTTTTCGAAAAAATGCTCGGACAGGTCAATTTTGTTTACTTAAAGCGCAATTTTTTAAATAAAATTCAATTTTCCCCCACTTCCCATTTTTGGGCAGTGACGTCATTGACAATTTTTTTAAATAGCAACCCCAATTTTTTTTTCTTGATTTTGATAGATCTTGCAATTTCCTACTCGGAAACATAATATTTGAAATATCTGACATAACAATTTTTTTTGAAAAAAAGTAATTTAAAGATCAGATACATAAATTTTATGTTATTTTGAAACACAATAAATTAACAAAAGATAATTATTTGTAATTAAATGTTTAATCTAACAAAATAATAATAAAAATAATAATAATAATAAAAAGAATTTATGAAATTGTCATTAAATTCTTTTTATTATTATTATTATTATTATTATTATTTTAGATTAGGCACTTAATTACAAATAATTATCTTTTGTTAATTTATTGTGTTTCAAAATAACATAAAATTTATGTATCTGATCTTTAAATTACTTTTTTTCAAAAAAAATTGTTATGTCAGATATTTCAAATATTATGTTTCCGAGTAGGAAATTGCAAGATCTATCAAAATCAAGAAAAAAAAATTGGGGTTGCTATTTAAAAAAATTGTCAATGACGTCACTGCCCAAAAATGGGAAGTGGGGGAAAATTGAATTTTATTTAAAAAATTGCGCTTTAAGTAAACAAAATTGACCTGTCCGAGCATTTTTTCGAAAAACCACCTACTTCCATTATAATGAATTTATTCCATACATTAGCGACATACTGTATAAATTTAAATTTTGAATTTGCAGGAATATTATTATTATTTTAGATGACAATGGGGTCTATTCTGTAACAATTCCTTTATATTTAACGGCCTTTAAAAATATTGGCGGCCTTTAAAAATATGTTCGTATTCGTTAATTTACTTCTGTCATTATTTAAACAGATTTCTTTAAGATAGTCATCTAATGTATTTTAAAGATCCGTTTAAATAATGACAGAAGTAAAGAAGAAAATATTTTTAAAGGCCGTTAAATATAAAAGAATTGTTACAGAATAGACCCCAATGTTTGAGAAACTCTTTGTTTTATTGTATTTATTTTATCTCTCTATTTTTGTTTAATATAACGTTTAAAAAAATATTGAAGTTGACTATGGCTTGGGGGGGGTGTAATTACCCCCATTACCCCCCCTTATCTACGCCCTTGTTCTCGTGTAACTGCGATTTTTACAACTTAAATTTTTCTAAAATTAAAAATGTTTTAAAACGCATGTTTTACGCATTTTTGTTTTCTATTTATGCACAGAAATAAGCCTGTAAAATGGATCTACTACAGCTGCAACACAACGAAAACTGTAACAAAATTTCAAAATTTTAATGCCACGGTACTGACATTATTTTCACGGTACTGCCATATAAATGATTATTTTTTTACGAATCGAAATATTGGTTTAAAATTGCAATAAAATTCAATGCACTTTGCATTAGATTGTAATTATAAGAGGTACATTTTATATTACAAAATGAATTTTGATAGTTTATATGTTTAATTTCAAAAATGATAATCGGACATGCCACGATACTGATATTTCGAGTATAGGTATATTTATGGGCTTAAGAAAAAATTGCGAAGGTTTATGATGTAATTCATGTCGGTTGTAAAATACCTCAAAATTTATAGTATTAATAACTTTTTGATAAGGAAAACCTATGCTAAACGATAAATAAAATACTGTACATAAAAAATCACAGTTATCCAAGAATCCCCTAATATAAAAAAAAAAGTTGCAATTTAGAAGTGCATGGAAAATGTATATATTTAGTTTATCCTCTAAAAATTTACAGAGGTAATAACTAGATAGGAAAGTCATGTGTTGATTTTTAAGTTGGTTGATTTGATATGAAATGACCCACCTACTTTATTCTGAAACACCCTGTATATAACAAAAACGCGAAAGTAAGGTGATTGACATGTCACACAGTGGTGCTCTTCAAAAAACACATTTTATTTATATAAATCGAAAAAAAAAATTCTCAGTGGGAACAAAATGTAATTTCTGACAGCAAACTATTTTAAATATACCAAGGATCATCCAAGAAAGTTTGTATAAGCAAAGCTTTCTGGAAGATGAAGAATTTAAAGTATAAAATATATCAAAAAAAAAACAAAAGGACAACCATTAGCTGAAGAAAAAATTACACAACTCTTCCAAAAAAGAAATTGCTACATTCATACCATTAGTCGATTTTTTTATATAAATTTAAAATCATTAAATGAAGTTTTTCCAACAGGATATTATGATGAATATTAGAATATCAGAGAGAGTAACCATTTTTATGCATTTTTTGAAGAACTAACAATTAGAAACGTGTTTTTATTTCAATAAATTAATATTTTCTCTAAATCATTGATGTTTTAGCTATTTTAAATTAGTAGCCATAAAAAAATAAAAGCCAATAGACTTCTAGTTAAAAATAACGAACTATGATACTGTTCCTGTCAACAGTAGTTCCTAAATGGCAATTTTAAAGGCCTAAATGCTACTTGTGACCTACTGTGTTAGGGCCTATGTTCATCATTAAAAAAACGCAGGGGCCAAACTAACAAAATAATCGTAATATTATAAGAATCTTATAAAATAAAAATCCCTTATGAATAATTATACCTTTTGGAAAGTAAAAACAAATTTTTATCAAATTCGAAAAAGAAACATTTAAATAGGTAATACGCATATTAATTTTCCCTTAAAATCCTTGATTATCTCAATACATAATTATTAAGGTAAGTAGGTACATAGGTATCTAAGTACTAAATTACCTACATATTATCTTATTTGCCTTTTTTAAATTTTAAGAACACTTTTCAAATGTCGATTATTTTATTAAGTGTACCTACATTAAAGTAACAATGTAAATAGTTAAAAATGTTTAAGAAAAAAGAAAAGTAGGTAGGTATCTATAAAACAATAATTGATCAAAAATAACAAGGGTCAAAAATAAATGGCAAAATATTATTGCAATTACTAATAAAAACAAAGACGACGTTCCTGAATTGTTGATATGATAACAATTATTACAAATGTCAACAGGTACAAAAAAATTCAAACAAAAAAAAACCGGGAACAACGAAACATAAGCCGAAAGGTCTGATTGATGAATATGATTCACACAGGTGTCCACCAGATAGAGATGCGGAATCGTTCTTGAACTCGTATTACATCATAGCGAATATCCCCTCCCATAAGAAGTATCTTACTTGAAGCAATATAAACATTACGAGTTTGTTTGCATTCTACAATGAATAGCTATTAAATTACTTGTTCATAAAAAACTCTCGAGTTTTTTAACTAATAAAGTTCACCCACGAAAATGGTACAGCCCTCCGCCATATTTAAATTTCATAAGTCGTGTGAAGCTACACCCCGCCTACTCGGCAATTCCGAACAAGTTTACGCAACCCTTCGACTAAATAGTCTAATTTTAAATGTATACTACAAATGAAAATAAACATGCAAGTGATAATTGAAAATGTGAGTGTTTAAATTCATGCTGCGGGTATGTCATGAGGGTTTAATATTGATTTGTGGAAATATATTGATTTGAAAAGCCAGGGTAAAACAAACCGAGGACCCTATTTGATATTTATATCGCAGTGAGTCGATTTAAACGGTTCGTATATTTTTAAATATTTAATTAAGAATATGTATGAGTTGATGAACATTACCTTTTGAAAGTGGCACCATATAAACAAAAGGGTAAAATCCCCGAACAGGATAACTAAACACCACAACACATCAAGTCGCCATGTCAGCAAATAATAGTCTGTCTCTGTTTAGGTTCGGAAATTATCGGGGTTGCTCGGGGTACAAAGAACCGCGAAGTCTTTGAATGTTTTTAGCGCACAATCGCGTTTTTCCCTTTTAAGACCTGCGGATATAATAAAATGCACCGTTATACTTACCTTCCTGTACATAATTCTATTTCACACGCTTTGTGGTTAGATTAAATTATAGTATCTAGTGCTTCTAAAGAGAAAATGATTTCATAGTGGTATTGTCATTTTATAAATAAAAAAAAAACTAGATTTAAAGTTTAAAAAAATACCAAACAGTGTGAAAAAGTTGTTATTCAGCGATTAAAAGTTGAAATAATGTTCGAAGTATCATTCAATTTTAGTACGGAACGAATTTAGGCTAGAGATATTTTAATTTCTAATCTAGTAGCTTATGTCATGCGCCGTGGATGAGGGTGTGCGCAAAACACTTATATTCTAAAACACTTACGCAATAAATTGTCCTTGTAACAACTAACAAGCCTGGGCCTGACGTCTCACAAATTGTTTACTTGCAGCACATGTAAAAACACACCACCAGTGTTGACAGTTCACTACTAGAAGGGCCCGTGGGGTGCATTGGGGAAAATTGTGTGCGGGTTAACAATAACTATCAGTGGTGCACACCCTTCTGCCAACTAAATGGAGCTCGGCGAGCCCCGCGCAACTATGGCTGAGAATACCACCACCACACAGTCGCAGTGACCTTGGGAGTTGTGGATGCCCAAACGTTCAGATGTATATTGGGTGCGGTGGTCGTTTAGACGTGATTTGAGAACATCTGGTCGACTAGATTTTAACTCTTACATTGAGGGCTCGAACAGTGGCCCAAATTCACTGTGTTGGGTGTGTTGCCTACGATATTACCACAATGCTCGGCTGGGTGATTGCACTAAAACGGGGATACACGTGCACACTGTATCGTGGGGTGGTTGACCCCCCAGAAAAAGAGGACGACTTTTTGACTCTTCGTAACACTTTTAAAAGAATGCTGCCCGTATAAGCGCTCGGGTACACGATGTTTTATAGGGGTGGGTGGAATAAGATAAGCTAGTTCAGATCGAATCAAGTAGAAAGTTAAATGGTTGTAACAATACCTATTTGTTTTTAATAAAACGATCCATTTAATAACAGGTGCAACAATATTTACAGTATTCAGCTGAAAATAAAAGAAACTAATCGATGAGTGTATTGTTTAATGTCTACCTAGGTACATCATATACCTATATACAGGGTGTTAGTATATTCGGCAGACAACGGTCTACCCAGGGTTACCAGGTTTTTGAAAGAGATGACGTACAGACGGGGCATTTTAGGGGAAATAGGGGAAAGTAAAAACAACTCTGTCTATTTTCATTTTTTTGATCAAAATTAAGTACTTATTTTGTAAAAAATACGTACCTAATTTTTGGTAAAGATAGACTGAGGTGTTTTTACAAATAAAAAGGTGAAAATGTTTCTGACTTTGGATTAGGTAAGGATTTCTTGCAAAATAAGTAATTTTGATTAAAAAAATTAAAATAGTTTTTTTACTTCCCCCTATTTCCCCTAAAATCCCCTGTCTGTCCGTCATCTCATTCAAAAATCTGGTAAAGTAACCCAGAAAGCTCTCGTTAATTTTTGATGAATTTTGAGGTTTCATCCTAGTATTTCGAAATTTTAGCACTAGTGTGTATTGAAATAACTTACTTTTTATAATGTTTTAACTGAAATTACATTGGTAAAATTATATTTCACTTCTTGTTTTCATTTATATTATAATAAAATGGGATTTTTGTCTATTTTAACCTAACTTTTAGAATCATTTCACTATTTCCTTCCACAAAACATAAACAAATTAATTCATGAGATTGTAAATTGTTGTCAATTGTTGACACAACTGTTGAATGTGCAACGTTGCCAAACTCTTGAATATAAAATTAGTCTAATGATATCTAAGTTAGGTAGTGTAGCTCGAAAATACACATTTTGTTTTTAATTTTCTCATTTTATGTATAATTTTTTCGCGATGCAAACTGCGATGTCTCCAGGCCACACAAGTTAGGTAAATTACTTAATATTTGTTTAATTTTTCTTATTTTATGTATATTTTTTTGCGAAGCAACCCGTGGAGATTCTAGGCCGCACAGGTTAAGTAAATAGCTCTGTGAAGCTGGCCCCCCAGAATTCAAAAATTTTTAGAAGCGGCTTACGTTTGACCACCTATTGACCATGTTTGACCACCCACTACCTTTTTTTGACTCCCCTCAGAAACCTAAATATTTAAAAAAATATTAATGACCGAGTGCCCGCTAGACCCCGAATTTAATATTTTTAAAACTGACTACACCATAAGATTAACCAATTTTTGACCATGTTTGACTACCCCTTAGATTTTTTTAACACCCCTAAAAATAATTTAAAGGGAGTAAATTATAGAAAAACAAGAGTTCTAGGATGAATTACAACTTTGAAAAATAAATCAATGGTCAGAAAGACACAATAGAACATAATAATTATCCGTATAGCTCTAAAATTATGTTTTGACGTTTGAGTATCCCCTAAAATAATTTTAATGTGCCAGTAGTGTGAAAATTCGACTTGGAAAAAATGGTCAGACATAAGTTAACAATAAAGATTCATAACGATTTAGAATTATGTTTGGACGTTTGACAACCCCATAAATAATTTTTATGTTCCTTAGTAGTGTGAAAATTCGAAAAATAAAATTTGGAAATCGAATTTTGGCTTGAAAAAATGGTCAAACGACATAAATGCACAATAAGGTTCCATAATGGTTTAATTTATGTTTTGATGTTTGATCACCCCTTAAAATACTCTTAGTGTTTCTAAGTAGTGTGAAACTTCGAAAAACTAAAAATTGGAAATCGAATTTCCACTTGGAAAAAATGGTCAAACAACATAAGTTTACAATAAAGATACATAACGATTTAGAATTATGTTTTGACGTTTGACCTCCCCTTGGAATACTTTTTAATGTTCCCAAGTAGTGTGAAAATTTGAAAAATAAAATATGGAAATCGAATTTGTACTTGGAAAAAATGGTCAAGCGACATAAGTTTACAATAAAGATCCATAACGATTTAGAATTATGTTTTGGCGTTTGACCACCTCCTAAAATAATTTTAATGTTCCCAAGTAATGTGAAAATTCGAAAAATAAAATTTGGAAATCGAATTTCGGTTTAAAAAAATAACCAAACGACATAAATAGGCAATAAGGCTCCCTAATGGCTTAAAATTATGTTTTGATGTTTTAATGTTCCCAAGTAGTGTGAAAATTTTAAAAATAAAATTGGGAAATCGAATTTCGGCTTGGAAAAAATGGTCAAACAACATAAGTTTACAATAAAGATCCATAACGATTTAGAATTATGTTTTGGCGTTTGACCACCTCCTAAAATAATTTTAATGTTCCCAAGTAGTGTGAAAATTCGAAAAATAAAATTTGGAAATCGAATTTCGGTTTAAAAAAATAGCCAAACGACATAAATAGGCAATAAGGCTCCCTAATGGATTAAAATTATGTTTTGATGTTTTAATGTTCCCAAGTAGTGTGAAAATTTTAAAAATAAAATTGGGAAATCGAATTTCGGCTTGGAAAAAATGGTCAAACAACATAAGTTTACAATAAAGATCCATAACGATTTAAAATTATGTTTTGACGTTGACCACCCTCTGAAATACTTTTTAATGTTCCCAAATAGTGTGAAAATTCGAAAAATATAATTTGGAAATCGGATTTCCACTTGCAAAAAATGGTCGAACGACATAAGATTACAATAAAGATTCATAACGGTTTAGAATTATGTTTTGACGTTTGACCACACCCTAAAATAGTTTTGGTGATTCTAATAAGTAGTGTGAAAATTCTAAAATAAAATTTGGAAATCGAATTTTCACTTGCAGAAATGGTCAAACGACATAAGTTTACAATAAAGATCCATGACGATTTAGAATTATGTTTTGACATTTTACCACCCCCTAAAATAATTTTAATGTATCCAAGTAGTGTGAAAATTTGAAAAATAAAATTTGGAAATCGAATTTCCACTTGAAAAAAATGTGAAAATTCGAAAAATAAAATTTGCAAATCGAAAAAATGGTCAAATGACATAAATGTGCAATAAGGCATTATATGGTTTAAAATTATGTTTTGATGTTTGACCACCCCCTGAAATACTTTTTAATGTTCCCAAGTAGTGTGAAAATTTGAAAAATAAAATATGAAAATCGAATTTCTACTTGGAAAAAATAGTCAAGCGACATAAGTTTACAATAAAGATCCATAACGATTTAGAATTATGTTTTGGCGTTTGACCACCTCCTAAAATAATTTTAATGTTCTCACGCAGTGTGGAAATTCGAAAAGTAAAATTTGGAAATTGAATTTTGGTTTGAAAAAAATGGTCAAAAACCATAAATGCACAATAAGGTTCCATATTGCTTTAAAATTATGTTTTAACGTTTAACCACCCCCTAAAATAGTTTTAGTGCTTCTAACTAGTGTGAAAATTAGAAAAATAAAATTTGGAAATGGAATTTTAACTTGGAAAAAATGGTCAAACGAAGTAAGTTTACAATAAAGATCCATGATGATTTAGAATTATGTTTTGACGTTTTACCAGACCCTAAAATAATTTTAATGTTAATGTGAAAATTCTAAAAATAAAATTTGGAAATCGAATTTCGGCTTGAAAAAATGGTCAAACGGCATAAATAGGCAATATGGCACTATAATGGTTTAAAATTATGTTTTGATGTTTGATCACCCCCTAAAATAGTTTTAGTGTTTCTAAGTAGTGTGAAAATTCGAAAAATAAAATTTTGAAATCGAATTTCCACTTCGAAAACATGGTCAAACGACATAAATGCACAATAAGGTTCCATAATGGTTTAAATTATGTTTTGATGTTTGATCACCCCTTAAAATACTCTTAGTGTTTCTAAGTAGTGTGAAAATTTGAAAAATATAATTTGGAAATCGAATTTCCACTTGGAAAAAATGGTCAAACAACATAAGTTTACAATAAAGATCCATAACGATTTAGAATTATGTTTTGACGTTTGACCACCTCCTAAAATAATTTTAATGTTCCCAAGTAGTGTGAAAATTCGAAAAATAAAATTTGGAAATCGAATTTCGGTTTAAAAAAATAGCCAAACGACATAAATAGGCAATAAGGCTCCCTAATGGATTAAAATTATGTTTTGATGTTTTAATGTTCCCAAGTAGTGTGAAAATTTTAAAAATAAAATTGGGAAATCGAATTTCGGCTTGAAAACATGGTCAAACGACATAAATAGATAATAAGGCACCATACTGGTTTAAAATTATGTTTTGATGTTTGATCACCCCCTAAAATAGTTTTAGTGTTTATAAGTAGTGTGAAAATTCGAAAAATAAAATTTGGAAATTTTTAACTTTCATTATTTAAATAATTATTATAAATAAACCTTCTGGAAAATTTTTTTTTAAAAATTTAATCTCTAATTAAAAATATTTCTTGAAAAAATTTTTTATTGACAAAAAACGCACTTGTTAATTAAAAATTTTTTTTGTTACAATATATTAATAGTAAGGAACCTTTTTTTTGTAAATTATTATTTATCACGTTCTATCATATAAAAAAACATTTTTATTGGCATTTCATTTGTTTATTAAACAAACAATTTATCATAAACAAATCAATTTTTGCGCAATATTTTTTTTAAATACTGAAAAATTTATGGAAACAACTATACGTCTTTTTTATGTGAATATTTTTTTATATATTTTTTTTTAATTATATTCTACTCTTGGATTCATCGTTTTCTGTCTGTTTTTCTTCATTGTTAATAAAATAACTATTGTTCTTGTTCTTCGTTTTAATGAACAAATTTATATTTGGAACGGAGCTCAATTTTTCATTAACATTTTTTATAATTATATATTTTTTTTAAAAATGGTTCCTAGATATTTAATGTTTAGTTCCAAAATAGTAGTTTACCTAACAAGTGCGGAAAGTGATACTTTTCCGCACGTAATTGCAGATGCCGAACGGCGCGTTAGCACTAAGTCGTTTTTGGAATTTTTATTTCTTTCAGGAAAAAAATAAACCAAAGTTGGGAATTTGTTTATAACAAATTGTTAACTTAATAAACAATGGAGTTTGTAGATGACTGTCAATTATGATTAAAAAAAAAACATTTCTTAACTAATAAATTAAACAATAGATATATTAAAAAAACGATTATTAACAATTAAAAGTTATTAAGAATTTTTTTTTAAATCATAATTGGCAATTGTCTAGAAAGTTGTAAAAAAAAATTTGAAAAAAATTGAAAT